ACCATTTGCATTGCTACCGGTTACCTCTTCCCTTTACATCCATATCATCGACTCGATCCTGATGTCTTTCGAGTTGGTTGTCACAAGCAACCCTCTTCTCTTCGGCCGAGGTCTTGCTAGTCAACCCACTCCTGATACCGACATTCTTGCCAAAACTCCCTCGAGTGCATTGGTGATCATGATGGTAGCAGGGCCGTGATGCAATCGCCTTTTCTTCCAGATATCTGACACCACGGGGAAATACTGTGAGTGCTCAGCTGTACGACTCGATACTCGGTATCCGGAGCATGGATAGCTGTTAAGGTCTATATAGCTATCTGACATTGGTGTGAAATGGCAGTTGCAGTTTTGTGTTTTTTGCAGGATGAGATGTCCTTCTGATGCAATCATGTCATCTACATCCCCATGTGGGTAGATCTTCCAGCTTTGCATAGATAACAATGGCTCAGGCCCTTCCCAAACTGAAATTCACATTCTGTCTTGGTGGCTATACTTTCAAAGGTTGGCATCATCAAGCTTCAGGCATCGCAATAATGAACTACGTCTCAATGGTTGGCCAGAGTTGTGGTTCATAGTTGGGGCATCAAGGAAAACATCACGAGAATCTGGACACGGAGATATGTAGCCACGAAAAAACCATAGGAAACCACCACACAAAAGCGTATGGCCTCCCTCAAACGAGCGGCGATATTGTCTAGCAACGGCCTCCCCTTCAAGTGGTGACCAACTGTGGGAAGGCTGAGATGATCGTGGCGCCAGTTTTGGATGTTACCGGCACCGTCGAGGAGACGATGTTGCGTGGTGAAGAAGAGAGAAAGGAAAAGAGCCAGAATTTTTGCATATGTATGAACCCACATGAGGACTAGCGGCGGATGCTACCTAAGCGAGATCCGTGCTACTGGGGCGTCTAGGTCCCTACCTACCCTGGACCTATAGCTGGGTGAAGAAGTTCGTGGGTGTTTCGATAGATGTCGAGTGTGTCCGACACCAAATCAAGTAGGTAGTTATGGGACTTTGCTCGAAGATGCTCACGCGAGCGGAGTTTCTTCTGTGTCGTATTTACTTGTTGTGTTGAACAACATGGGCGCGCTTCGGGCACAGAATAGTCAGTCTTGTGCGGGCAGCCAGTAAGCCGTTTGACTCGATATCACGAGGATTATTATGGAAAGATGTCAGAAGCGAACCGATACTAGATGAAGCATAGATGATTCATAGGTGCAACAAATCACAATAAACACTTGATAAACTCTGTGTATGCATCTCTGTGAAAGCGAATGTGATGGAATGTTCACGAGGGCGTTTATGAGGTTCCACATGTGAGACTCAACGGACCAGTCAATGCAGGTATCCACTGTTGGGAGGAGGATTTACAGAAGGGGGACCCTGATGGCATATGCCAAAGCCCATTACGTATGTGCCTGAATCAAGGCTGCAGCTGTTTTCTGTAACTGCTGGACCCTGAATATGAGAGCAGATGGAAGCGTTTGATTGAGGTGAAGAATAGATGAAGAGCTTACCTACCTACCTACCTAGGTAGAGGACAAGCGGTATCCAAATACAAAAGCACAATATTTTGATAGCAATTTAGTAGGCATGACTGATCGAATTCAAGTATCGCGTGTCAGTGTCTTGTTCTGTCTCGTTCATGCCCATTCTCCTCGTCCATTTGCACCATTTGCTCTGGTACACGTGTAGCCCGCGCCGCTCAAGATTGGCCGATCTTACCGTCTTCCTCAACTTCAACAATGGATCACCAGGCGTCTCAGCGTGAGCACACGACAACGTGGGGGAGGGGCATCCACTGAAGAAGATGGGAATAGGAACTGTTGATTAAATTTGTCACTATTTCGACTCTTGGGACTCGAGTATTTTAAACTCAATGCTTCCCCTTTGTCGCTGTGATAGTTATTCGATGCCATCAGCCAGCCAGGGCAGTCTTGGCACCTACATACACCGAGCAGTGGATCCTCATCGACGGTATTGATTGATCATAGCTCAGGTAGGCTGGTTCTGTGGAAATTAGTCTATCGACGCCCTTTTCTTCCCCGTCAACTTTTTTCTTCTTTGTATCAAGGATTCCATATAAAGATATCATCTTCCTTTGTTCTCCCACCACTAACGTGTCAGCCAGAACCAGAGCGTGTCTCTGTGGCTTGAACAGCATCTTACCCCTTGAAGGTTGTTACCGAGATTGACTCTGGAATGACCTCACACCTTCAATTTCATACCTGGACCCTGTATCTTACCTCAGCATCACTTCTTTCACCTGGCTATCACCAAAATTCGACTACAAACACCGGACATAAACGAAATACTTATCAAATAGAGGCGGCAATCTAAAACGAGCAAAATGCCACTCTCAGGCGCCCGACTGCTCGTGGCAGCCGCCTTACTACTCCCTAGCGTCTCTCCTTCACCAATCGTCGACGCTGGACAAAAAGTTCTCGATGCAATTACAGGCACACGCAATTCTATAGAGACGCCGCATATCCAACAACCGGGTCGCAAACTGAATGGCAAATTCTTGCATATAACAGGTACGCAATATCACATGTGAAACGGGTCCCATGTTCCTGCATCTACATCGGATGAAAATATGATAACTCAGCGTCGCATCCAAAGCAGCTCACTAACAACCACAACCCCAGATTTTCACCCTGACGAATTCTACAAAGCCCATTCATCAACAGCCCAGGGCGTTGCATGCCACCGCGGGAAGGGCCCTGCAGGTCTATATGGCGCCGAAACCACCGATTGCGACTCTCCCGTGGATCTTGTCGACGCGACCTTGGAATGGGTACGGAAGAACGTCAAGGATGATATCGACTTTGTTGTGTGGACGGGTGACACGGCGCGCCACGATAGTGACGAGAAGCTGCCACGAAGCTCAAGCCATGTTCTGGATATGAACCGAAAGGTCGCCAGAAAGATTGTCAAGACGTTTTCTGACGATGGAGCCCTCACCGTCCCTGTTATTCCAACTTTTGGCAACAACGATTTTCTGCCGCACAACATCTTCTATCCCGGACCAAACAAGTGGCTGCAGGCTTATAGCAGCATATGGCATCGTTTTATCCCTGAGGAACAGCGACACTCCTTCGGATTCGGTGGATGGTTCGAGGTTGAGGTTATCCCTAATCAACTATCCGTCATCAGTCTCAACACCATGTACTTTTTTGATCGGAATGCTGGCGTTGACGGCTGCGCAATTCCCTCGGAGCCTGGTTTCAAGCACATGGAGTGGTTGAGTGTTCAACTTCAGCGATTACGTGAGCGTGGAATGAAGGCTATCCTGATCGGCCATGTTCCTCCCGCCCGGACTAAGAACAAGCAGAATTGGGACGAAACTTGCTGGCAAAAATACACACTCTGGCTGAAGCAGTTCCGCGATGTTGTTACTGGCTCCCTTTACGGCCATATGAACATTGACCACTTCCTATTTCAGGACACCAAGGACATTGATCTGAGCCTTTACGACAAGGCAGGGACTGCCCGAGAACCCATGGATGATGGCTTTTCCGTCGAGTCAAAGAGCGACTACTTGATAGACCTTAGAAAGTCCTGGTCTAGCTTGCCAGGCTCAGCTGCAAAAGCACTAGAAGAAGATCTAGACGCCGAAGATGACCTTGAGACGCAAGATGAAGATGTCGACGAGTTGAGGAATAGAAAGAAGAAGAAGAAGAAGGGGAAGAAGGGTAAAAAGAAGAAGGGTCACGGCAAGATCGGAGGCAAATATGGAGAACGATATCAGGTATCTCTTGTTAGTCCCAGCGTCGTCCCCAACTATTTCCCGACTCTTCGCATAATCGAGTACAATATCACCGGCCTGGAGGATGCGCCAGTCTGGACCGACTCATTCGACATCAACTCAAAAGTTCCCGAAGAGCTTCCCGACTTCTCTGAGGACGAGGAAGCCCACCAGGAACTCAAGAGAGACCTCGAAGCTGAGCGAAAGAAGAAGGGCAGAAAAGGCAAGAAGGGAAGAAAGGGAAGAAAGGGCAAGAAGAAGCCCAAGAACCCTGAACTCGTGATCCCACCAGCTCCCCCAAAGGGATCACCTCCTGGCCCTGCATATTCTCGCCAGACATTCACCTTCATGGGATACACGCAATATTTTGCCAACCTCACCTATATCAACAATGATCTTACCGACTTGTCTAAGACAAGCAAGTGGCGCGACGGCGATTTCAGTGATGAAGTACCCAACCACGATAAGCCGCAGCCCAAGAAGTTCAGATACGAGGTTGAATACAGCACTTTTACCGACAAGATCTTCAAGCTACCCGACTTGACAGTTCGAAGCTACCTCAGGCTAGCGTCTAGAATCGCTAAGAGGAAGACGAAGAAGGGCAAGGGCAAGGTAGCTGAAGAGTACAATGAAGATTTTGAAGACGAGCCAGACTCAGACGGCGACGGCGACGACACTGAACTTCCAGAACCTGAAGAGGGAGACTCTGATTTGGACTTCACCGCTACCAGGGGCAAAAAAGGGAAGAACAAGAGAAGGAAGACCAACAAGGTTTGGAAGCATTTCCTCCAAGAAGCATTCGTCAACACTATACCCGAAAAGCAACTCAAGAAGTGGTCACGGAGATGATCCGAGACATGTAGTACAGGATAGCGACTGGCTTGGAAACTTTATGACTGGCATTTTAGCGACGAGACGGGTGGAATAGGCATATATGGCGTTAATGGCGCATAGAGAGCATAATTGCTAGAATAACTGAAGGTACACGATCTTATGAATACACTATCGTTTTCTCACAACATTCTGAATCAAAGCTCATTCGTATTTCTTGTCCAGAGGCTCCCTTTACCGGGACATTAAGAAACATGGGGTATCAGCGAATGCAACTGTGCCAGTACAAGGCCACCAGTTATTCATACATCGTGTTCGTATATCATTACCAATCAGTCCAATTCATCTCATATCTCAAAAGAAACCATTGAATCCCATCCTTTCCTTTACCTAACAACGCCTCTCCTCGTACATGCGCGGTTTACTCGGCATTATTGACAACCCGCAACGCCCGGCGAGGACCCATAACGACGCTGAAGAAACTCGGTTCCTGGCCTTCGAGCAGCCCTTCGGTCGAGCCTCCGCTATGACTCGTTCCGGGTCTCGTGTCCTCACTGCGCTTGGCACCTCCAGACCCGCTGCTGGACCCGGGAGCGCCTGGCGTGGTATCATCTTCATCCTCAGGGTTCCATTTGGGCTCTGTGGTATATCCCTGATTGCGGCTAGGGCCGACCCAGCCAAAGAGGCTGCGCTGGGAGATAGCACGCTTGGGGCGGGTAGTACCAGCAGCAGTAAGGGCTGAAGGGTTGAGAAGAGAGTTGGACGCAACAGAGTAGCGGTTTGATACTGCGAGGTGCTGTTTGTAGGCGTTGACTTGCCGGCGATAGAGCCAGGCACAGAAACCAAGATAACAGGCGAGAGCACCAAAGATGCCAGCGATTACCCCTGCAGCTACGAGACCGCCATTAACTCCACCATCGTCTTCTTCTCCATCCGGAGAGGCGGCTGCAGTACCAGTCTGGCCGACCCGTACTGTCGCTGTCGGCCCGGAGGTAACTGTGAAAACCGGCGGCTTGCCCGTTAAGAACGGACCACCCGTAGCCGGCCCCACAGCGGGGGTGGTAACGGTAGCGCTGCCGTCCTTGTCCCCACCCACGACCTTGCGTACAGCGTCCGGGACCTCGTATCCATGGGACCCGGCGAGAACGAAGTTATCGGGATGATGGTCCGAATCGTGATTGCCAGCCTTGAATTGATCCTTCCACTTGAGTGAGGTTGCATCGAATACGTACATACCCGGATCACATCCAATGTCCTCTCCTACTCCACCAACGACCACCATTTGGCCATCATACATGGCGCATGAATGGCCAGCTCGGGCAGCGGGTCTGTTGTCGTCGTTTTGGTCGACTTTGATCCACGTGAAGGAGGGAATGGTCAGGATGTACATGTCATCGTACTGCGTTTGGTTTCCCTGAGGCCATGTTAGTATTTGGGTATGTCCTGTACCTTGTCAACGACTTACAAAAGGAAGATTCTGTCCACCAAACATGTAAATCTGGAAACTTGACGCATCCGGCGCGCTAGCGATGACGGCACAAGGATTAACACGAACGCTGGGTGTATCTCCGGACGTTTCTTGATGGAACCATTCGGAATTGGCAATGTCGTATACGTTCAGTGTGCCGAGATCCTCAGTAAATGTTTCGTTGGTGCCGCCAGCAAGACCGATGAGAACACCTTGCTCGCCCCAACCTGGCACAAACACCAAGACACCATCTGCCCTCTCAGTGAAGTTACCGGTCTGGATGCCTGCTTTTGTGATGTTGCGATAAGCCCCGCTTTCACCTGCGCCTGTGCCGTCAGAGAGGCTATCGACGCCGGTGTTAACATAGCCTGGGTGTGTGAATTCGAGAAGACTCTTGAGATATACACGATCAACACTGCGCGACCAGCCTGGGGTGGTGGCCCAGTCGAGATGGCCGCCAAAGTACCAGCTTAGGCCGAGCTCAGGCACAGATAGGCCTGCTCCCTCGGCAGCACGGTGAACTGGTCGATTCCCTGGCTCTGATTCATTGCCGGCTGAGGTTTCGGGGTTCTTAAATTCGGTCCATTCTTCATTCTTGATGGAATAACGCCAGACAGACTCGGGCTCGGGATCAACATAGGGTGTATCGGAGAATTGGCCGCCATAAAGATACAGATTATTGTAATCATGCCACAAATACCCCATAGAGACCTCGGGAGGACCATCCGGTTTCTCGAGACCCTTGAGAGCGGGCGAGCCTATATCCCAGTCCTTAGTGAGGTCCAGTGTTAGAAAATTGTTGTTCCATGTGTCTTCGACCTGGTCGGCTTTTGATCTTGAGCGACCGCCATATAAGTAGAGTGTTCCATTCAACTGGGCAGCTTGGAGACCCCATCGTGTGCAAACCTTGGTAGGGCTGATCTCGCGTTTCTGAATCACGCCAGCATTGGCGCCATTGATATCTGAAAATGAATGGCCATTTCGCCAACTGAATGCCGGAAGTATAATGGCAATGAGGAGCGCTAACATAGTGAAGCGCTGCAGGCCCGAGACGCCTGGGGACACACCCGAAGTGCTCTTGATTCTGGGTCGGCCTTTGGGGTTTGACAATATGGTGTACCAAGTCTTGGGCGATGAAAGTGATAACTGTCGAGGGCGTTGGCGGTCGTTGTTATCCTGACTGTGGTCGTCGTCTTGCTCGAGTTGTCGCTTGTTGCTGGACGATCCAAGGATATCAGAGCTATCACTCAAGTGTTTGTCGTTGTCATGGGTGCCAAGCTGCTCGTCTGACAACAGTGAAGGTGCTGATGCAGAAGTGGGATAATCCAAATCGTGTTCTAGACCAACTTCTTTAAAGACGGATCTTCTGCCTTTTTTAATAGCGCCTCCCATTTTAAATGGTGGTGTTACAAAAGTCTGAGCCTCACGCAGGCGATCCGAGGTGCGTTGAGAGTTAAAACGAGGCCGGACTGGAGCTAGAAATCCCGAATGGGACGGGGGAGGGGACTTAACCATTGACATCGTGACCATGTGCTCGCTTCCCTGCTTGCTTATACGGATTGGATGATGGATGGCTTGTGGCGATAACTGGTAACCAAGGGAATTGGGCGTTTCTGGGTGGCTCGGATCGGCGAGTACTATGATGTAGCCACCTTAAAGCGATACCACTCTGTAGGGATCATGTCCTGCAAGCGAGTTTTGATATGACAGAAGTTGAGGGACAGGTCTTCAATGGCAAAATACACAACTGATCGAGGAAAAGGGTCCTGGGGCGCTGAAAGAGAGGGAATGATAGTGGGAGGCCCAGAGAGTTCACAAGGGGGAGCCGGAGTGGTCTTTTGAGAGATTCAGAAGCTCTAATTAACTAATACAACAATGATCGACGCCTCGAGCTGAGGGACAACAAGCTTGGGCTCTCCACTTGGGGACCAGATGAAGGCCGTTGTGTAAATCATGTCGATTATTGATTGATAGAACAAGAGACAGCCTAGACAGCGGAGCATCTCAGCCCCTGGCCCACTACATCATCGATTTCCCCGACAACTTTGTCTGGATTTGACTTCGATAGGCATTGAGATACCTGGGTGTGGGCAAGGCGAAACACAGCCTGTAGCTGGTGTAAGGCGCGCGTGCATGGCGTGGAGATGGAGACGCGGATGGTACAGCTACATACCAGCGAGCCAGCCAACCCGGACCTTGGGAATAACAGCGAGTAGCCATGTACCAACATGTGCTGTAAATTGTACCCAGGAACTAGGCAGGTCAATTGAGCAGCAGGAGTACAGAAGCACATTTCAAACATGAGCGTCACCTCATCCTCATCTTAGCATATCCAACCGGATATAGCGAATGCAAGGCCAACAAGGGAAACGCCCCCGCCGTTAAGGAGACGAGCCAAGCAAAATGCAGGAGTGAGCATTTACACACCAACATTGCAATTGCAAGCGTACAAGCTTATCCGTACACGAGCCAAACCTGGTGAGTAAACGGGCCTTTCATTTCCTGTTGATCTTATTGCTCCCCCGGAAACTTGCGAGCTGGCATTTCGGGTTCGGTTGCAGTGCCGTTCATTACCAGATTCATCACGGGTCTTGGCATCGACGGTGTGATGATTGGGTCACAGAGACGTGGCGATGACTTCACATGCTCCCGGGGGTGTGACCTTGATTTCTTTTTTGGTGTTCAGTGTTCGGTTTCGGATTGTGTGATCTACGGACCCGACCGTGTGTTGATGTTTTAACTAGACAATCCGATTCACTGATACTGTCATGCAGTGCAGAATCATCAGCTGCTTGTCCATCCCGAGGCTTGCGATGGCTTCTTTTTCGTGCAGTAACGCAACGCAACGGTCGTGGAATCCGGGGTAAGACTCGGTAAGAGGAGGAGAGAGATGCAAATAGCAACCCAAAACAAACTAATGCAGAGGATGCAGAGGATGCAGGGATTGTAGAATGTTGGTTGCGCTGTCTTGTGTTCGATCACGATCTGGATCATGATATGAAAGATGGTGGTTGGCTCGGATGTCAGTCCATCCGTTTTGCTATCGGGGTTTTCAGTCGCACTGTATGTACTGGTGATGATCGCCTCTGCAAGCACAGTATGCCACACTCGGAAAAAAAAGATGCGTTTATCACTATAATTATAGCACGTCACGCCTGTACCGACACCCAGAAACCTTCCCTTGTAAAGCATAAACCCCAAGCATCAACTTAAAATCTGCAGTGTTTCCATTTCGAGAATTAGCTGCTTTAACACGAGCCGCATCAAAATAAAACAGCGGGCTGTAACTGGATCACCCATCCACTGCCGGCACCCGCCGACTCGTGCTGTCCTTGCTGATCATGCTCTCTTCTCGTACAACGTTATCTTTAGACCAGAAACCAAGCTGGCCAAGTCGCATGTTTTTGAGCACGGCCTTTTGGAAACTTCCGTCCCTCCCTTTCGGTCCTACGCTTTCAAAACAGAATCCTCTCCGTCTTGCTGCAGTGACATACTGCACCGCCACACCTCGCTTAACCGGGATCAACAGCTCCCGCCGCAGATGAAGCCACAATTGTGACTACTGCATAGATCGCATTCGTGAAGATGGTATTGGATATGACTGAGATCTATGGAGTGTCGCTTAATTTGCACACTGGCATGCAGTACTGAAAGCTAAGCGAGGCCTCGCTCTTGCCACCGTATTATCTATCGCATCTCGTACCGCCGCCTGAGAGGCTGGGGTTCCAGCCGAGGCATCTTAGCAACGTCAGATTCTCACACCGAACTTTTGGGTGTCACGGAGCGGGTCTCGGAGTTCTAAGCAGGACCACTGACCCGGAGCGGATCTGACATTTGAAGCCGTTTGCGTTCTTGTGGGACTTTCTTGGTGGGACACCGGAGTTGCTCCGGACATGGAGCCCCTGAAATCGGTGATTGAGTGAGGCTTTGGAAGGGGGCCAAAGTTAGATCTCGCAACAGATACATTCTTCTCATGTTGAAAGAACATCCAAGAACATGATCAGCATTCACCTGTTGGAACAGTTCCTCGTAACTAGGCTCTGTTCATTACATTAATCCTCTACTAGTTGGAAGTGGATCAAAGGCCGTATCCTCAGCCAGCTGTGAAGGTGCTTCTGCTTCCGGCGGCAGCGTAGACTCCCCCTTGTTAACCTTGAGACCTTGCCTCACTCCAAGCTCACGGCCGATGAACTGTAGCGATTCACCTGCGGCTTCGCTCTGCTCGTTTAGCGTTGACGGTACGAGGTAGACTGCCGTCAGGGGCCATATCAATTTCAACGCGTCAAACACTGTCCTTGGTGATGGGTTGTTGCGGAAAGATGCCGGGTCGAGATGCCGATTTACCGCCTCCATGACAAGCTTTGCGCTGTCTCGAACCCGGTATACGCAATGCGAGCGTAGCACCTTGAGCTCTTGCAGGGGAATGGGGGCAGTCGGATGATGAGTTAAGAAGTTTGCGTAGGTCAAAATGACATGGTATCCTTTTACTCGCGCCGAGTTGAGCATATTTCGTAGATAGGGGTTGAAAACTTCATCGATGTAATGGTACCCTGCGTCAAAAGTCGTGAAATGATCTTCGGCTTTGAAAACAATACCAACCAAGTCGTAGTACTGGAGGGCAGCGGCGTCAAAGTCTCGGGCTCGAATGATATCGAGCATACGCTTTTGAACATGTGCCATCTTGCAGATATAATCGCCGACTTCTACAGCCAATCCTTCTCCTGGATGAAGGGTTTGTCTGATGGCGGCAAACCATTCCTGGGATTCAGGCGGGCACTCAAGGCTTGTCAGGAGACACCGCACTTGCTAATAGCTTATTAATTGGGAGTAGGAATTCAGATCGAAGTGACATACCACCATGTTGTAAGCAGGCCAGAAGCCCATTCTCGATCCCGGCCTTCGCAAAGAAGCCGTTCCTCTTTGCTGAAGAATACTGTATAGCCCATTGGTATGGAGGTGCCATGGGTTCAGGGGTGATACGCGGTTGATGGAGCCCATAAGAAGCTATTAAAATATGAGTATAAGAATGGTGGGAAGAAGTCAGATTGCTCACTTCATAGTTCGTCAGAATCCATACTGTCGCGAGAACATCGTCCCTCATGGCGCCCTCTGGTGTTTTGAGTGCTTCGCCAACAGAGCTCAAGGTTTTACCAAGGTACGTACCAAGCTCCTTGTCGGTCTGCTCGACAGATCCGTTGTCGATGGCGGTGGGATATCGCAGGTTGGTGATGTATGTGCGGGCAAAGAGATGAGTGGCCCAAAGAAGAGGGCCTTGAGGACCGCTCTTTCTGTATGTGTCATGGAGGAAATCCAAAGTATAGTAGACATTGAGAAGGATCGGGATGGAATGGGCGGTCCAATGCTCATTAAGGGATTGTGGTAGGATGAGAGCCCTTCCAGTTCTGGTGAATTCGACAAGATCGACTATTGTGGGTGAGACGGGGCTGAATTCACGATCAACTTCTTCAGTGACTGACGGCGTGGCAGCATCTCCATTCGACGAAGAGGAGGAGGAAGAGGAGCCAAAAGACATGACAGACTCTCCACGAGTCTGAGCCGTAGCATTTTGCTGAGTCCTCTTCTTCCTCTTCTTGATGGTGGTTGGGTTAGCATTGCGAAAGACAAGCTCCTGTTCGTCCCGATATCCCGGACATTCAGTCCCATATTTGATGCATCTTTGACATGATGGTCTGCCAAGATCACACTGTTGATGTCGTCAGCAATTGGATATGTAATGGGTTGATATGCTCGAGCGTCTCTCTTATGACATAACCGCGTAAGCACAGAATAAGTGGCTCAAGGGCTGAACCGACCTTGACACGTCGTGATCGACAAAGATGGCAATCTTTGCTTGGCTTTCCCGTGTTGGGCATTATCTAAGAAGCGACAGGACGCACGGATAGCGTTAAGGATGTAACTAAGTACGGCCAGAGAGTCACAGGCCCCGTTATCGTTGATGGATAGTCAGAGTTGAAACGGGTAATCCTTTCGAAGCTGTCGCCGTCGGAAAGGGATTAGCGGGCCACACAGGGCTGAAGGGTGGATACACAACAGGGAATACGACATCACGTGCGGGGAAGCTCTAGCATTGGAGTCTTGCACTGTTGAAGCTATCACCAGCTTTGGTCTAGAGATAATCTCACTTGAGATAACCTCGATTGCTCGAATGTAGTCGCCTCCTTGCAAATTATATGAAGTTTAAGACTTGAATATGAAGCCTCTTATAACTAAAGGCACAGAAACGCAGATGTAGATATATTTCATGATCACGACCCTAGCGTAACTTCACCTCTCGGACGCGACCGACTACTAGGAACATAATACCGAGTGTATAAAGCTCGCGATGGTATATGAGTCTTCTGCCCTGGCTGTAGCATTGATTCCTTATTGAAGATGGAACCCCTATTTTTACTGCGGTACCAGGCGCAACAAATGCCCATCAGGTGTAGCACCCTCGGTAGATCATCTCATATTTTCTGTAAGATATTAAGGATCCCGTTCGTAACTGCGAGCATATTGGAAAGCTTCAAGACTTGAAGCAAACAACCAATTGTTTCATCCTGCTCACGGACAATAGCTCACGGGCTCTATCTCCAGCTAACTAACTAATGACATGCGATAACCGTACCAACTCTGCGTCCTGACCAACACACACGGATTATTGTCAACTTTCGTTAGATGGCATCGTGATGGTTCTAATTCTAGATAAGTATTCACCCGAATCACCAAAGCGTGGGCTGCAGAAAAATGAAGCTTGTCACCTGGGAGAAGAAGGGGTTTTGGGGGACGAAGGAACCAAGATGAAGGCAATATTATCCCAGAATAAACATGTGTGTGACAATAGTGACAGATTCTTGCTCAACAGGAAGAGAAGAGCCTCAGATGGCGTGTGTATGTTTCCAATCCTCGGCGAGGACCATACTCCCTGATGAAACTGCTTTTGCTAGCGTTTCAAAGACCCCATTGCCAAATGTTGCCATCATCTTATCAAATACTACAAGTTCCAGTGCCACTAGTTTGCCGATCAAGCCCTTGCCGGTTCTCCAAGTTGGGTGACAGCCTCTGTTTGCTTTCAGGTAGTTCTGAGATATGTCGTTGAGCTGGTGATGTAGCTACATTTTGAGTGAATACTTGCTAAAGAGACTTGCGAAGCGTAGTTAAGATGGGACAAATTCCCGACGGTCTTTACTGGCAAACAGCGGGACGGTATTTGTACACAGACTGCCAAGATATAATTGGGGATGTCAAATATCAACATACATTTAGCCAGATACATTCTATCAGACCTTAACAATTTCCAACGTAAAAGTGTGTTAAGATATTATAATATTCTGTATATATACATATATATATCTTGTTACAAAGATTGGATGATCATATCTAATTCATACACACCAATGACTGGGATGAACTTGAGTTTGCGCGTGATGGAAAGGGCCCTCCCTATTGTTCACCAACAACACATAGGCTCAAAACACAAAAGCGCCTGGTGAATGAACATTGATCCCTGCAAGACACTGCCAATCAATTGCATTTGTTACTAGCACCTATTGTTCGACTGATTGTCTCTAATGTTACTGTCACTGTCAGTGTCACTGCCACTGTTCACCGGCTGCCACTGACAGCCTCTTGGGCCACTTCCATTGACGTACACAGCAGCCTCGCCTCCAACATTCTCTTCTTCTGCGTTTCTTCTCCTCTCACTTTGCTTTCTCCCACAATCACAACAACCACACACTCCCCATCGCATCTCATCGACTCTTGTTTCCTCCTTCTACACACCTACTCACTACATCTCGCACTTCTTTCTCAACTACCAATAGCTTAGCTTTTAAAGCACAACTCTACTTCCACTCCGCCGAAATGAACGTCGAACTCCAAGCAAAGTTTTGCGGGTCGATCCCAACCCGCAGCTCCTTTATGGATTTCATTAATGGGGGCAAGTCTGTATATAGTACTGTGACCCGCAGTCCACCAAGCCCGGATACTGGGTCTCGATTTTCCATTCAGCCCACGACACCAGAGGTTGAGACTCCCAAGGATAAGACTGAAGTTCAGGACACTTCTTTCTTCGACGTTCAAACACCCTCTATCGAGACCAACATCCAACACGGCACTGTAGAGCCTACTATTCCCGACTATACTTTTGTTCTTGGCACTGAAGATGAGTCTGTCACAGATCAGTCTCCTAGTGAACCCCCAACGACCGACAACACTATGGACGACAATGCTACCAACCCCCCTTCTCTTCACGATGTCACTATCCCTCAGATCTTCGTTACAGCGCCCACCACTCGTGAGTCTGGTTTAGCTGAGGCCGCCGTTGATGATGTCGAGTTTTTCGATAGTGGCGAGGAGTTCGAATTTTGCGATGAATTCGACGACAACGTCAATGGATTCCAAACCCAACATCTCACCCCGGAACATTATGTCACCAAGGAAATGGCCTCTCAGGCTAGATCAAGTGAAATTGAAAGTGTCGAATTGGAAGCCACAGGCATTGACACAGATCCTGAAACCCATGCCTATACTCTCGACGATTATTCCATATCCACAGAAACCAGCGAGAGCTTTTCCAATGAGAGCGGAAAGCCTTTGATTTGCTTTGACGAGAGCGGAGATCTCTACCTCAAGGTGGGACAGAGCCCAGGGCGGCTTATGCTCGTCGATTCCCGAGCCCTCAGCCGCGTGTCTCCCAGACTCAAGGAGATGGTTTCTCGTAACCGGAAAGACGCCGAAGATGGCGGCGACTGGACTATCGAGCTACCGGATGACAGTCCTGTCCCTTTCACTGTCCTTATGAATTTGATTCATACACGTTTCGAGAAGGTGCCCGCCAAAGTATCACTCAAGAAGCTGTACGGTGCTTGCATTCTCACCAGCAAGTATGAGATGACGCAAGTCCTACGACCTGTGGCTGAGCGCTGGTTCAAGGCTTTGGGTACCTCCATTGAGGACTATGGACTCTTTTTCAAGAAGGCATATATTGCATGGGAATTGGGTTTCTCGGAGGAGCTCAGCGAGATGATGGGCCACGTTGTGCTCAACTGCTCATTGAATTGGAACGATCAGCTCGTTATCGGAGAGAACAAGGAGCCACTTTGCAATTTTGAAGGATTGCAAAGAATTCCTATTCTTGGTAAGTAAAAATAAGTTCCTTCTCTTGAACCTCGCTAACTCCCTTTACAGACTGTATCGCAGAACACCGCGAACTCGCTCTAGAAACTTGCTGGTATAAGAGCCAGAAGCTAGGTGAACAAGTCCTTTATAGCTCTGTCAAGGGACACATGTGCGGCGCTTCCCACAGCCGAGAGGAAATGTGTCTGATGCTGGGCAAGATGCTAAGCAAGGCTGGCGAAGAAGGGATACTCGACCTTTTCCACTTTGGGGGCAGTCTCGACGTATTCCGGTCCTCGGACCTAGATCTAAAGACTCTTGAGCACAAGATTAGTCTCGTGGCTGATCATATAGACTTGTGTGGATGGTGTCATGCAGTGCTCGAGACAGTCGAGGAGGTTCGGCAACAACTTCGAAGGGCAGCCGATCCCCTCTACTTGAGCCATCTCCGGACTTTGCAAATTCAAGCTGCCAAGGTTAGAATGAAACCTGGGGTCTTGGATGAAGACGATGACGATGAAGAATAAGTTTGCAGGTGAACGGGTGGTGTTTGATATTTCGATTGGTGATTGGCGAGTCACATTGTGTGTGTGTGTGTGTGTGTGTGTGTGTGTGTGTGTGTGTGTGTGTCTTA